TTCCATCTGCTGGACTCCTTAAATGGCTGCAATGGCTGGAGCTGGGCCGATCTAAAGCCAGGAGCTTCTTCCTGGTCTCCCATGTGGGTGCAGGGCCCCAAGGACTTGGGCCATCTTCTGCCTTCCCAGGCCATAGCAGAGAGCTGGATCGGAAGTGGAGCAGCCAGGATTCAAACAAGTACCTGTATGGGATGGTGGCACTGAAGACGGTGGTTTTTACACACTATGCCACAGTGCTGGCCCTTGGAGCTCAATTTTGATTTCCTGCATGAGTGGCAGGCACCCTAGTAGTTGAGTCGTGACCTCTGCCCCTCAGGGTGTGCCTTAGCAGGAAGCAGCATTGGAAGTGGAGCCAAGCCTGGACCCAGACACTCATTATTGATGTGGGTGCCCACCCCAAGTGTTTTCATAACCACAGAACCAAATGCCTGCCCCCATGAACATTTTATTCTATTTATTTTTTATGACAAAGTACTTGATATCTGGAAAGTTTATATGAATACTGTATGTATTGTTTTTAAAGCCTAACAATTCAGTGAATACCCATGTACCTTTACCCAGCTTTTGAGCCTGCACATTGCCAACACCATTGCTTCTCCCTAGTCCCTCTGCCTGCCTCCCCCAAGAGTAACCACTATTCTGAATTGTCATTTTCTTTACTTTTAAAAAGTGAGGTTTAACCAAATACTTCACTATCTTAATATATTGTTTAGTTCTGCTTGTTTTTGAATGAATGTTTTCTTAACATTTAGTTACTTTTGTACAAATGTCCCAGAAAACAATGCCAGTAAATGCAAGTTGTATAGGGTTTTTTTTTTTTTTTTTTTCTTACGATTTCTTCCACTGAGGTAGTTTATGTATGAGGTGAAGCAGACTTTGGGAGTGGAAAAGCTTTTCCTGGTTAAGTAGCCTTGGTATCTGTATGCAGATATAATTGGTGGAGCCTGGAGGCTTAGTGAGAAAATGAGACTGTCATTCGCATGCTCTGATTACACATGGTTTGTTGATGTATGGTAAGTGTGTACGTATGAGTTATAAATAGCTCAGGCACATGCATGGCACGGTCATCTCATGGTGCCTGGTTTGTGAGTAGCACCAGCATCATGACCATGATGGTGATGTCAGTATCAGGTGATGACTGAGCATGTGGACTTTGGAGGCGGGATTCTCCAGTCTGAGTCAGTGCCCCACCACTGAGCAGCTGTTTGACTTTGAGCCTGGGACTTCTGCTTAGTGAATGGGAGTGATAACAGGGTCCCAGGGAGTCACATTCCACTTTGTGCTGATCATAGTGCAGGCCCTGGTGTTAGGTTGAGTCGGTTTCATTCCTGGATGTGTTCCTGCTTGGCCCTGTGACCTCAGGACAGTCACTCACCTTTTGAAGCTTTGATTTCTTCCTCTATAAAATGCTATTTACTGTGTGTGCTTATCATGAAAATACAAGAGTAGGAGTGCCTACTTACAGATAAATGGTTAATAAGTGATACTGTTATTGGTTGTGGAGTTTGAGTTTGGACTCCTGGCAATTGCTAAATGATTAGGCACAGTTCATGAGAGGTAGCCCTGAGCTGAACTTTGCTTTAAATAGGACTCAGAAACTTAGTAGGATCAGAGGGGGGGTCAGGCCAATCTGGAAGCTAATTAAGTTGGTCAATTAGCATTTGGAATAATTATTACAAATGTAATCTAAGCCTCTGCAGCTTTGTTTTTTAGGGTGGGAATGGATGGTATTAGTAAGAAAAAAATTCTTTAATTAGCTTTTTTTTTTTTTTTTTAAGAGCACTTGGACGTACACGGCAATATTGAGCAGAAAGTACAGAGAATTCTCAAATACCTTCTGCCTCTACTGCAGAGAGCCTCCCCGTTATGCACGTTCCCACCAGAGTGGTCCATTTGTTACAGTTTGATAACTGACATTGAGACATCATTGTCCTCCAAAGTGCAGTCCTTGCACTGGGGCACACCTTCTGGTGTTCGCTCCGTGGGTTTGGGCGAATGGCTGTGGCCATGCATCTGCCACTGGCATATTGTGCAGAACTGCTTCTCTGCCCTAGAGATCCCCAGTGCTCTGCCTATTCATCCTTCCCTCAGGACCCCTGGTTACTCTTGAACCTTTTATTGTCTGCACAGTTTTGCCTTTTCCACATCAAAAGACAGAATCAAATCAAATGTAGGTAAAGATCTGATTAACCTTTATTTGTGATTGATGAATTGGAGCAGCCTCCATTCCACAAAAAAGAATGAGGTCTCCCACTGGGCAAGGGCAGAAGTGGACTTTGTCAGGTGGGAACCAGGAAACAACACCAGGAAAAAAACCCGACTGGCGAATTTCAGCTTCCTTCGGGTTGCTTTTCTTGTGAGGGTTAGAGAGAGAGGACTTCCTTATTACGCTAACTCAGGCAGACTAGAATCTCCTGTCCTCAGGAAAAACTGGTCTGCTTGGAGATCTACCTGCTTCTTTAACGTTTCAGCCTGGTTATGTGACTTTTAACATGAGTGACTCCAATTTGGTTTGGCCAGGGCTATTGCCACCTGGTATAGGAGCTCATTCCAGAACAGTAGCCTTCCTTAGATTTTGTTTAACATCCAGAGTGTCATATTTTTGGAGTCAGATGTAAAGAGCTTTTTCAGACTGGATTCTTTCAAGTAGGATAGTATTTCTTACCTCTAAATTATGTTTATATAGAAAAAAATATTTATCTGGGAAGGCTGCCTTCTGAATTCAACATGCAGCCCCCCCCCTTGTAAGGAGCTGGAAGACAGGGGACTTGTGCCCCACAGGCAGAGGACCCGTGACCCCAGCAGATTGTCAGGGCTTAACACACTGACGCTTTGTGGCCAAGTTTCCCTCATGCCCCTCTTGTGCTATTTTTCACTGTACTGGACTAAGTCCACACTGTAGAGTTATAAATAGGGCTAGGTGGAGGCACATGGTCAGAGTAATCATTAGGTGCCTCTTAACCCTGGGCCCTTAAATATTTGTTCCTTGTTTATTCCTGGAAAGGCTGATTCCTATGTGCTGGAAGAGCAGAAATGGGAAAAAGTAGGCTGGGCCAAGTACATGCCATTTCACAGAACAAATGCTTACCATCAGCCACGCTGAAAAAATTAGCTTAGTGATCATCTGCTGTCAATAAATTTCATCAATTTCTCCCCTCCACCCAGTAGCTTCCTGAAATATTTCCTTCAATTAGCAGTTTCTGACAGATGCCTGCTTGGTCTTGAGCCATCCCCAGTGATGTCTTAGTGCCTCTTACAGATTCGTGCCCTGGGCAGCCACCCAACTGGCTTTTGCCAGCTTAACGGGGTCATCTCACTCCTATCCGTGTGCAACCCAGACAAAATGGGCTTTTCTTCCTCCATCTGGAGCTGCAGTCTCTGAGAAATAGATGGTGGCCCTGCCCGCATGGACAGGGGAAGCCCCTGCATGTTGGAGCAGTTTCTTTCTATGCGACTGTGCTGTTGTTTACGGATGGATGAACTGAAAAACGGCCCTTACTACCTTCTTCCTTCGCCTGCTGTTTTGGGAAGTAGAGGGTGGAAGATGCGTAGGAGGAGAAAGCTAAGGATTATGAAGGGGAGGGCTTGGAGCTGGGTACTGCAGTGGAACAGCATCTGTGAATACCTTGGAGGCCAGTCATCCAGGGCAGAGGTTGCCCAGCGTTTTCTATAATGGACTTGATCCTGAATATTTTAGGCTTCCTAGGCCAGATGGTCTGTCTCGTGTCAACTCAATTCTGCCACTGAGAACAGCTAAATATAATAGATAAAGGAATGAGCATAGTTGTGCTTCCCTCAAACTTTATTTATGGGCCCATGTCCATTCCTAGCTTGCTGGCAACACAAACACAGGCAGCGAGCCGCATTTGGCCTGTGGGTTGCAATTTGCTGACTTGAGCTGCAGTAACACAAGAAATCTGAAGTTTGTAGGTTTGACAATATCTGTGCTGCCTGTGTCCTCTGTAGATACCCTTTTTGTGCTCACGTAGTGAGAAATTACTTCAGAACTGCTAAATGATTTCCAAGACTGAGTTTTGCTGGCCTGTGAGTGGTAGAGAAGTGTGCCCCCTGGAGGCCATCTGGGATAGTGGCAGCAATAAACGAAGAAAACTGGCTATACACCAGGAGTGTGTTCCCTCATGCTAGGGTTGGTGTTTGATTTTAACACAGGGAACCATATTAACCTCTAGGCTTGTTTTACTGTAATTAAGCTATATTATTTCTGAGAACTCTTTCACTTTTTTTTAAAAGATGTATTTATTTGAAAGTCAGAGTTACACAGGAGAGAAGGAAAGACAGAGAGGCAGATAGAGGTCTTCCATCTGCTGCTTCACTCCTCAATTGGCTGCAACAGCCGGAGCTGTGCTGATCTGAAGCCAGGAGCCAGGAGCTTCTCCTGGTCTCCCACGTGGGTGCAGGGGCCCAAGGACTTGGGCCATCTCGTACTGCTTTCCCAGGCCATAGCAGAGAGCTGGATCAGAAGTGGAGCAGCTGGGATGTGAACCGGTGCCCATATGGGATGCTGGCACTGCAGGACAGGGCCTTAACCCACTGTGCCTCAGCACCGGACCCAGAACTCTATCATTTCAGCTGTTTATTTGGAATTTCTCCCCCACATTTTTCAGTGAGAATTGTCTTAACTCTTGGTACTCCTGGGCCAAGAATTCATTAAATTTTAGGTGATAACTGTTGTTAATTCTTTATTTTTAAACTTAAAAATTTAGTTTTCATTTTATTTGGGGGGAGGAGAGAGAGAGAGAGAGGGAGAGAGCACGCGAGAGTGAGCGCGCAAATGTGCTCTCTCTTCAGTCTACCTATTCACTCTCCAAATGCTGGATGGTAAGCAGAGAGCTGGGATTGGAACTCGGCACTCTGATATGGGGTGCAGGTGTCCCAGCCAGCACCTGCTACGCCAAATGCCTGCCCTTCATGTTTGTTTTATTGATTGACTTGTTCATGTTTAACTACTTACCATATTTCTTTTTATCTTGTACCGACAGGATCCTTACTACAGATTTAATGACCTGGAGTACCGATGGATCTCCTTGGATAACTGGACCTATAGCAAGGAATTTAAAATCCCCTTTGATAGTAGGTATGTGTGTGTGTGTGTGAGATCTATCTATCTATATATCCATCTATCTATCTATCTATATATATATGCTTTTCTTCTTTCTCTTGACCACCAGAGATTTAAAACAGTAAAATTGTGTACTGTATAAGTGAATATGATTTATGTTTTTTTTTTTTTTTTTTTTTTTGACAGGCAGAGTGGACAGTGAGAGAGACAGAGAGAGAAAGGTCTTCCTTTGCCGTTGGTTCACCCTCCAATGGCCGCCGCTGCAGCCGGCGCACCGTGCTGATCCGATGGCAGGAGCCAGGATCCAAGTGCTTTTCCTGGTCTCCCATGGGGTGCAGGGCCCAAGCACCTGGGCCATCCTCCACTGCACTCCCTGGCCATAGCAGAGAGCTGGCCTGGAAGAGGGGCAACCGGGACAGAATCCGGCGCCCCGACCGGGACTAGAACCCGGTGTGCCGGCGCCGCAAGGTGGAGGATTAGCCTATTGAGCTACGGCGCCGGCCTATGATTTATGTTTTTATGTGAAGATGCTGTCACTGATCATCAGTTACAAACTTGTGTCTTAATGGAGTCATTTTTCCAGTGGTCATGATGGGACAACCTAGATCCCATCAGTTCTCTTGTATAGATTGCTGATTTCAGGGAGCAAGCAGGCGGCAGAGTGGTTTATATTTACAGTATTGTAATGTAGGATCAGAGATACATCATTTGTTCTGTGTGACACTAACCAGGTATTGCGATTATGACTTTGACCTTATACTATGACATGAGGCTGTGAGAGAAAGCACTGATATTATGTTCTGTCATGTTCTTGTATCCCTGCAAGCAAATATTTTCATATGAGACCATGTGTGACCCAAGTATCTCTACCACTACTATTACTAAATTTAAAACAATCCTTCTCTTTATGTGAATTTTAAGTGTAATTTATTGGTCTATTCAAAGACAAATAAAGCCAGAATGTAGTGTTCAGTATTATGGAGTTACTGTGTTCCAGGCCCTGTTTCCTGATGATACTTAAAATATCTGCTGTTATGGTTCTAGTTCACTCGAGAATAGAATGCATGTTGCTTTTGCTCAGCAAATCACATCTGAACATCTTTGCCTGTCTGTGAAAATACTGTTGAAAGCTGCCTGGCCCTGGAACACAGCCTGCACACCCTCCCCACTGCTGACTTGGCCAGCTTGCTCGTGCTTAGCTTCTCAGCTCAAATTATACATCAGAAGCAAATGTTTTCCCTTGAAGCGACCGATGCTGTTAGCGCTGCCTTGCTTTTGCTTTGGCACTTTCTTTGGGAGTCTACCCTCCACCTAGGCATTTCAACCCATTACATTTTTTTTTATTGATATATAACTCATGAATCATACAGTTTACTCATTTAAAATACACTATTCAGTGGTTTTTAGTACATTCATGCAGTTGTGCAATCATCACCACAAATTTGGAAGATTTTCCTCATCTTCCAAAGAAAGCCATATCCTTTAGCAGTCATTCCTGTCTCCCACATCCTTATCCCAGTCCTTGGCAACCACTAATTTACTTTCTGTCTCTAGAATTTTCCTGTTCTGAAAACTCGTAACATTGAATCATATCATATATTGCCTTTTGTGATTAGCTTGTTTCACTTAGCATAATGTTTTCAACGTTGATCTATGAAGCATCAATGTTTCATTAATTTCTGTTGATGAATAATATTTTAATATATGAATATATAATATCTATTTGTATTCCCTTTAGGGAGGGAAGGAGAGGGAGAGGGAGAGAATGAATGAATGAATGAATGAGAGTATGCACTCCCATCCACTGGTTCACTCCAAAGGATTGCAATGACCATGGCTGGCACTGGGCAGGGGCTGGAGCCAAGAGCCAGGAGCCAGGAACTCTATCCAGGTCTCCCTCATTGCGTGCAGGATCCCAATTATGTGAGGCATCGTCACTGCCTCCCAGAGTCTGTTAGCTAGACACTGCCATTAGGAACTGGAGCCAGGAATTGAACCCTGGTACTCTGATGTGGCTCACAGGCATCTTGACCACCAGGCTAAACTTATAGTTGTCCAAAAAGTGCAAATGATACTACTTAGAATAGATAAATTTTTTTTCTATTTCCAGTGTTTTAGGACTTGAATGCTAGCTAGGTTCTGTAGACTTCTTAAATTCAGAGACTGTTTCTGGTCCTTTTGGGGCTTCATAATATCCCCCGAGCACATAATATTCGTTCATGGGTATCAGTCAGTTGGTTAATGTGTTCTCTTGTTGTCAGTAAGTCTAGTAGTTTTTGAAAATGTTTCGCACCTATTATTTAACTTGGTTCTCACAAGAACTTTGTAGCATAAGCAGAGAAAGTCAGTGCATTTGGAAATTATAAGTTCTCTTGATTTTTATGTTGATATAGTCCCTCAATATTGATATATTGTATAAATATGTATTAGAAATCTCATTGGAAATTGCCTCCTTTTAAAAAAGTTATTTATTTGAAAGAGTTACAGAGAAAAGGAGAGACAGAGACTTTCCATCTGCTGGTTTATTCCCCAGATGGCAGCAATGATCAGCACTAGGCTTGACTGAAGCCAGGAGCCAGAAGCTTCATCTATGTCTTCGACGTGGGTGCAGTGTCCCAAGTCCTTGGGCCATCTTCTGCTGATTTCTCAGGCCATTCGCAGAGAGCTGGATTGGAAGTGGAGCAAGAGGGACCCGAGCCAGCACCCACATGGGTTGTATGTGTTGCAGATGGTGGCTTTACCCTCTGTACTACAACACTGGCTCTGGAAATTGCCTCTTAAGCGTGTTTGCTTTCATGCGAAAGGTTTTAATTTTTTTAGTTTTCAACTAATGAAGATTTACTAAGCTAGTGTCTTATATATCTGATTTTAAAAATCTTTTCTTTTTTTAGCAAAAGGCAAAAGGTGAACTTGATTTTTGATGGAGTTGATACGGTCACCAAAATTATTTTCAATAATGTCACTATTGGGAAAACAGACAACATGTTCAATGAATATGTAAGTATTTAAGGACATGATGTTAAAAAAATACATTCCTAGATATTTGTGTTCATTGTTTTTGGGAGCAGAGAAAGATAAATGCTTACCATGGGGTAAAATACAAGCTCTTTGAAGCACTGGGTAAGTTACTTTATTTCTCAGTTGCTACATTTGTAGACTGAGGAATACCACCAAGCCCACCGGGTTGCTGAGGGGCTACAGCAAGCTCATGGTGCAAAATGAACACATCCGTGTTCAATAAATGATGCTGCCTTCTCTGTTTGGTTCTGTTTCCTGGGAAATGGCAATTGACAAACGATTGAAATAGAACATGCCCTTTGCTTTCTGGAATAATTACATTCAGGGATTGCATCCTGGTGTCCCTTCTCTTTCAAGGGTAGACTTGTCAAAACAAAAATAACTCATGATTTAGAAATACATGCTGTTCATACCAGAGAGTCAGGGCGTTGTGAAGCGTCTAGAAAATCCTGGGCAGTTCAAGGCCGCATGCAAACAGCCAGACATTCCTGGGCTAAAGATATTTTCTGCTCTTTCTGTTTCCCTAGGATCATCATTCTGTCAGTAAAAATAGAAGGAGAAACCTAGAAATCTGCCTTTGGATGAGAGATTTTGCTTAGTTATAACTAAAAATGGACAACTAAATTATACTATGTTGGATGGCTTCTTTGTCCTAAGGAGGCGAAACCTAAATATGAAATATCATAATGCATTTTCATAGATTCTGCTCTAACATTTTATACACTGGACTACTTACACATCGTGGGGCTGACGGTTCTTTGTCTTTAATTCAGAAGTTTGATATTACCCGTGTGGTCAGAGATGTGAACACCCTTGAACTGCGTTTCCAGTCTGCAGTATTGTATGCGGCACAGCGGAGCCAAGCTCACCCTGGCTACCAGGTGCCCCCTATGTGCCCTCCATCAGTGCAGAATGGCGAATGCCATGTCAACTTTATTCGAAAGGTAATGTGCTCTCAAACAGATGGGGCTTCTGCTTTGAGGATGGGTGTGCTGGCATTCACAATGCTTACTTGAAGGTTCTAGTGCTGTTGCAGAAGCTGGGAGTCTCCTTCCTGACCCCAAGTGAAGTTTGAAAATGTAAAATAACTGATTACCTGAGCTTTTGTAAAGTATCTTTATTTCTCTTTCCTTCCTTCCCCACTTCCTTCCTTCCTTAAAGATTTATGATTTAATTATTTTATTTGAAAGTCGGGACACAGAGAGGAGAGGGTGGAGAGAGAGAGCGAGAATAAATGAATGAATGAATGAATGAATGAATATCGGTCTTCTAACCACTGGTTTACTCCCAAAATGGCCACAATGGCCAGGGCTAGGGCTGGGCCAGGCTGAAGCCAGGGGTCAGGAACTTTATCTGGGTCTCCCACTCGGGTGCAGGGGCCTGGGCACTTGGGCCATCTTCCACTGCTTTCCCAGGTGTATTAGCAGGGAGCTGGATCAGTTATGGAGCAGCCAGGACTTGAACCAGTGCCCATATTGGATGCTGGTGCTGCAAGCAGCAGCTTTACCTGCTATACCACATGGCCCTGAGTATCTTTATCTTTCTGAGTATTCTCCCTGAAGTGTGCTTTAGAACTTAGGCAACATCAGAAAAAGAGGAAACATTTGTGACTGGTAAGGGGAGTATATACATTTTTTAAAAGATTTATTTTTATTTATTTGAAAGATGAAGTGACAGAGAGATGGAGGGAGGGACACAGAGATTGAGAGAGGTATTCCATCCACTGATTCACTCATCAAATGGCTGCAATGGCCATAGTTAGGTCAGGCAGAAGCCAGGAGCCATGAACTTCATCTGGGTCTCCCACAAGGGAGACGGAACCCAAGCACCTGAGCTCTCTTCTGCTGCTTTCCTGGGTACATTAGCTGGATTGGAAGCAGCAGGGACTGGAACTGACCGTCCGATATGCTGCCCTAGAAGGTGGCTGTTTAACCTGCTGTGCCACAGTGCCAGAACTGTGGGCATAATAAGGCTAAATATGTTCTAAGGAAAGAACAGACCAGCCTTTTTTTTTTTTTAATCAAACTTTTCACCAGATTATGAGCTTCCTCTTTATTAGTTCTTATTAGGAAGCTTCCTGCAAATATGAATACAGTTGCTGACATCTCCCATAGGTCCTTATAAAATCAAACAAAAAGATAAAATCCACAAACATGATTATTCTTTGAGTCTGATCTCAGTCTAGAGGACTTAATTCAATTATGTATTAGAATGATTTTATCAGTGTATGTGACATTTAGATTTTAAAAATGTTTTTTATTAAATATTTTAGTTTTTGTAAAATATAGTAAAATTACTATATTTTTACTATAATAAAAATACTCTAAGATTTAGTATTCTAGCCATTTTTAAGTGTGCAGTTTAGTGGTGTTAAGTATATTTACATTGCTGTGCAGCTGTTCTCTAGAACTTTTCTATCTTGCAAAGCTGGAACTCTGTACCCATTAAACAATAGCTCCCCATGTCCCCCTACTCCAGTCTGTGGCAACCACCACTCTTTTTTTTTTTTTTTCTGTGAGTTTGACTCTGCTAGATATTTCATGTAACTAAAATCAGGCAGTATTTCTTTTTGTAACAGTATGATGTCCTCAAGGTTCACTCCTATTGAAACAGTGCAGAATTTCTGTCCTTTGAAAGGCCAAATGATATTCTATTGCGTATATATACCACCTTTTGTTTATCCAATCATTCTTTCCTGAACATTAGGGTTGCTTCTACCTTTTGTGTATTGTAAATAATACTGCTATGAACATAGGTATATAAATACCCCCACAAGATCTTACTTTCAGCTATTTTGGGTAAATACCTGGCAGTAGGGTGGCTATATCCTATGGTAATTCTATCTTTATTTTTTTTTAAAGGTTTATTTGAAAGACAGAATGTCAGAGAGAGAGAGAAAGAGAGAGAGAGAGAGATTGATTATCCATCCACTGGTTTACCCCACAAGTGGCTGCAACAGCCAGAGCTGGGCCACACCAAAGTCAGGAGCCAGGAACTCCATGTGAACCTCCCAAATGGAGACAGGGGTCAAGCTCTTCAACCATCATCTACAGCCTGCTCAGGTGCATTAGTAGGAAGTTAGATTAGAAGCAGCCAGGACTGTGACTGGCACTCCAAAATGAGGTGCTGACTTGCAAGCGGCAGCTTAACCTGCTTTGCTACAACACTGGCACCTATTTTTTTTTAAAGATTTATTTATTTTTTACTGGAGAGTCAGAGTTACGCAGAGAGAGAGAGAGGTCTTCCATCTGATGGTTCACTCCCCAGTTGGCTGCAACGGCCGGAACTGCACCGATCTGAAGCCAGGAGCTTTTTCCGGGCCTCCCACATGGGCACATGGGCCCAAGGACTTGGGCCATACTCTAATGCTATCCCAGGCCATAACAGAGAGCTGGATCGGAAATGGAACAGCTGGGACTAGAACCAGTGCCCATAGGGGATGCCGCCGCTTCAGGCCAGGGCGTTAACCCACTGTGCCACAGCACCTGGCCCTGGCACCTATTATTAGATTTTTTTAAAAAAATTTATTTATTTATTTGAAAGAGTTACACAGAGAATGACAGGCAGAGAGAGAGTGAGGTCTTCCATCCGCTGGTTCACTCCCCAATTGGCCGCAACGGCCAGAGCTGTGCCGATCTGAAGCCAGGAGCTTCTTCCAGGTTGCCCATGTAGATACAGGAGCCCAAGGACTTGAACCATCTTCTACTGCTTTCCCAGGTCATAGCAGAGAGCTCGATTGGAAGAAGAGCAGCTGGACCTCGAACCGGCACCCATGTGGAATTCCTGCGCCACAGGCAGAGGCTTAGCCCATTATGCCACAGCACCAGCCCCCCAAGAGTTATTCTTGTACCCCTCTTTCTCCCTCCTCCAATCCACTGCTAAGTCCTTTTGATGGTGTGAATTTTACCTTTTTTTTTTTTTTTAGCTCTTGAATCAATTTAATCTCCATTTCTATTACTGTATCTTTTTTTTTTTTTTAAGATGTATTTATTTGAAAGAGTTACACTGAGAGAGAAGGCGAGGCAAAGAGAGAGGTCTTCCATCTGCTGGTTCACTCCCCAGTTGCACTGTTTGGAAGCCAGGAGCCAGGAACAAGGAGCTTCTTCCAGGTCTCCCATGCTGGTGCAGGGCCCCAAGGACTTGGGGTCATCCTACACTGCTTTCCCAGGCCATAGCAGAGAACTGGATTGGAAGTGGAGTGGCCGGGACTTGAACCAGCATCCATATTTTGGATGCCACCACTGCAGCTCACTACACCACAGGGCCGGCCCCTCTATTACTGTATCTTGAATCCAGTAACTACTCACATGCAATCTTACTCTGGTCTCTCAACTGGCATCCCTACACTTCTCTTGCCTTCCTTTAAATAATCGCCCAAGAGCATGGTCTTTTATATTTCTATTTTTTAAAAGGATTTATTTATTTATTTGAAAGGCAGAATTAGGGAGGGAGGGAGGAAGAGACACACGGAGGAGAGAAAAAGAGAGAATGAAAAAAAGAGAGGAGAGACAGAGAGATATCAGTCTTCCATCTGCCAGTTCACTTCCTAAATCGCCACAATGGCTGGAACTGTGCCAGTCCGAAGCCAGGGGCCAGGAGCTTCTTCCAGGTCTCCCACGAGGATGCAGGGGCCAAGGACTTGGGCCATCTTCCACTGCTTCCCCAGGCATGTAGGCAGGGAGCTGGATTGGAAACGGAGCAGTTGGGATGCAAACTGCCAGCCATGCTGGAAGCTGCTGTCAGCTTTACCCACTGTCCCACAACGCCGACCCAGACAAAAATGTTTACAACTGCTTAAAACTCTTCAACAGCTTCCCATTGCATCGAGCCTAAATCCTGTAGCTTGCTGCTCTGTGTGGCCCATTCCCACCTCACTAATCTTCCTCTGGCCTTTGCCCATCGTTCTCCATTTCCTGGAAAGTTGGGTCCTATTGTCTCCTGCCTCCACATCTTGTCTCTTGCCTCCACATCGTCTCACATGGGGCTCCTTCTGAAAGCAAGTGACTTCCCTCTCCTTTAATCGCAGCCTGTTACTAACCCCTCAGGGCCCCAAATAAAAGGCTTTCGTTTTTCAGGGAAACTCATTGACACCCTGCCCCCTGACCTCTGGTTGTATGTTCTCTGTTTTCTTCGCAGAACTCATCATTCTTCACCTGCTATGCCATAGCACCAGCCCTTCTCCACTTTTGTTTCTTAAACTGTCTTCCCCTAGAATAGAGCGGTAAGCTCCCTCCCTATTCCACCATTATCAGCCATATTTTTTTGACTTGGTGAAAACTCTCAAGTGTTTGAGTGTGGTTGAGTGAATAGAAGTGATTTGAGGTCCTAGGTGGGGAAAATGGTCTTTCTTGTAACATGTTGAATATTTTGCACCCCTCCTTCTCCCTATCCCCAGTAAGAGAATTCCCTGTTTGTAGCCATAAACTCCCTAATTCTGAATATGAAGATCTGCTAGTTAAGTGGTAAATTTCAGTGGCTGCGGATGCTATGATGGAGTTTTAGTTCTTTGTTTTTCTTTATGGTGGGGACAGATTTATCTTAGATAAATACAGAGCCGAGGAACTCATATCCGAAGGATCACCATTTGGCCAAACCCTCATTTTGCAAATGCCTTCTTTTAGAAGGATTTCAGTGCTTCTTCCTTTTAAAAATATTGAACCCATAGCCTTGTACATTTTAATGATCTATATTTTGAAACTAATTTTTTTCTTTTAAGAAGCAGAAAGCAAAAATTCCGCTCAGAAGGACTTATTTTAAGAGAGCCGGTTCCTACTTTTCGGTTTTAGCAGATGTGCCACCAAAGCGAGCACCGCTTGCTGCTCCTCAATCTGAACCTTCACACTGTGAAAATTGAGGGTCATGAACAAGCGACAAGTAGTCAGGAGCAATGACACAGGAGGCAGATGTTGGCCACCTGTGTCCGTGTCTGAAGTTTGAGCTGATGGTTTTGGGCTCTGTATTCAGAAACAAAGGTTATTGACTTCGTTTTCATGGAGGCAAGTCCAGCTAGACCTTTAAGATATCTGATCATAAAATCTTTGCCCCTCAATATGGCTCCTCACTATGTATAGTTACTACATTTAAATACAATATTTTTTCTACTTCATTTATTTACAGTGGTTAGTTCTAGAGCCATTTTGGAGATGTTTAATGAATATTATTTCACTTCAATGTAATATGTGTTTGAAGAGTAAAGGTACAGTTCTTCATAGTTAGATGTGATTGGTGGAGTTGAGTAGATCAAAGTGCTTTGAAGTCCTTGATGGGGATAAACGGTCTGTCTCATAAGATGTTGACTGTTTTGCTTCCTTCCTCCCTATCCCCAGTGAAAGAATTGCTTATTTGTAGTTATGAGCTTTTCTTACAAGATTTCAGTCAAATTTGACTGTGTTGCATAGACTGATAGGCTGTCTGTTGTGTTAGTTACCTATTGCTCTACAAAAACTATGCTCAAACCTATTAACCTAAAACAACATTTGTTGCTGTCGTTTCTGTCATGCAGGGACCTGGCTGTGGCTTAGCTTGGTGCCGCTGGCTCAAGGTCTCTCATGAGGTTACTGTGGAACCGTCAGCCAGCACTGCAGTCAACTTCAGCCTTGGCTGGGGCTGAAATGCGTTCCTAAGCTCACTTGTGGTCATCGGCCAGCCTCAGATCAGCTTCCAACCTCACTCTCATGAGCTCTTCTGCACAGTGCTGCCCCAGGACACAGCAGCTGGCTTCCTCCTTGTCCAAGAGAAATTATGAGAAAGTGCCCCAAACAAAGGGCTTAGTCTTTAAGCCTGGTTCCAGAAGTGATGTCACTTCTGTTCTACTCCATTGGTTAGAAGTGATTCACTAGGTCTGCCTCTGCCCAAGGGGAAGGGATCTCTCAAGGGCATGAATACTGGGGAGGGGGGTATTCTGGATGGTCTGAGGCCATTTGTGTTTGGGGGGATACATATACCCATCCATCCACACACACAGAGTTATGGCTGAATTGTTAGCCCCCTCCCCCAGATTCGTTTGTTGACATCCTAACCTCTGGTGCCTTAGAACATCATCTCATTTGGAGATAGTCTTTAACGAGGTGCTTAAGTGAAAATGAGGTGGTTAGGAAGGCCCCAACTCAGTGTGACTGATGTCTTTATGTGAAGAGGACATTTGGATGTTAGAGACACCAGGGATGCTTGGGCACAGAGACTACCAAGGTCACAGGGGAAGGTGGCCACCTGCAAGGCAAGGAGAGTGACTCAGAAGAAACCACAGCGGCTGACCCCTTGATGCTGGACTTCTGGCCTCTGCAACTATGAGAGTATCAGTTTCTATTGGTTAAGCCACCTGCTCTATGGCATTTTGTTAAGGCAGCTTTAGCAAACTGCTGCACATAAATGCATCTGTACTATTTTGAAAGAAAATGTTTTTCGTCGTGTTTACATTGCATGGTCATCAGATTGTATCTTCTCTTTTCCCCCTAAACCTCCAGGAGCAGTGTTCCTTCAGCTGGGACTGGGGGCCTTCCTTCCCTACCCAGGGCATCTGGAGAGATGTTAGAGTGGAAGCCTATGACATCTGTCACCTGCACTACTTGACGTTTTCCACACTCTATGGTAAGCTGCACGTGTGACTTCTTGTTTTCTTTTTGAGACTCTTCCTCGTTATAAACATTGGGCTTATAGTTTGACTATGTACATGCATTTTTCAGAGACTTACGGAGTTTTTTAAATTTTTTCATTTTTTTTTTACCATTGTGGTACATTGAATTTATAAAAGTAAGAAGCAAATAGCCAACTGTGATTTGTCATGAAAATTGATAATATAAGGCAGGCAGGTAGGTAGATATCTTTTAGCATTTTTAAAAAAGATTTTTTTATTTGAGAGGCAGAATTAAGAACAGAGGAAGGGGGCAGCACTGGGGCACCGTAGGTTAATCTGCCTGCAGCGCTGGCATCCCATATGGGCGCCAGTTCTAGTCCTGGACGCTCCTCTTCCAATCCAATTCTCTGCTATGGCCTAGGCAATCAGTAGAAGATGGCCTGAGTCCTTGGGCCCCTGCACCGATGTGGGAGACCAGACAGAAGTGGTTGGCTCCTGGCTTCAGATCAGTGCAGCTCTGGCTGTTGCAGTCATTTTGGGGGGAAGGAAGACCTTTCTCTCTGTCTCTCCCTCTCACTGTCTGTAACTCTAACTCTCAAATAAATAAATAAAATGTTTAAAAAAAAGAGAAGGAATCCCCTGGTATGCTTCCAACTCCACCACTTGGGGCAAGTCAGCCTGAGCATGTCCCAAATTATACATCTCTTCCCTCTCCCATTCCCACCACCATGTTCAACAGGGATCACATTTCAGTTAATTTTCAACACTTAAGAATAACTGTGCATCAATTACAGATCTAAACCAGTCATATTAAGTAGAACAGATAAAAAAAAGAATGGGAGAGGGAAGAGATGTATAATTTGGGACATGCTCAGGCTGATTTGCCCCAAGTGGTGAAGTTGGAGGCATACCAGGGGATTCCACTTCATTCCCATCGAGGTGGCATGTACCTTTACCATCTCACTGTTCCAGGTGATCAGTTTCAGTTCACAGTTGGTCATGGTGAAGGAACTGGGAGTCAAAGGGAGCACATAGACAAGTCTAGTACCTGCTAACGCTAACTGATGGAGTAAATAAAGGGGAGAGTGATCCGCGAGCGAAAAAGGAGTGTCCTAGAATGGCAGATGTCCTAAATAGCACTCTGGCCTCAGAATCAGGCCTAAAGCCATTCTGAGCTGGCTGAAAAGCTAAGGGAATATTTCACGCTTGGAAAGCCCAGACCCTCTGGATCAAAAACGCTGCAAGAAAGATCCCAGGGGAAAG